AGAAGAGTTTGTTGAATCTGACGTGACATGTTCGTACCAACCCTTTGTATGAACAAAAGTAGGAGAAATTTAGGATAAGAATACGAACATGTTCTTGCATGAGGCCCATTGCGCCGTCACCAAACTTTGCTGGAAAAAGGCAGAGTTTGTAAAATCATCGCGGACCACAGAATTTGTTGTATCTCAACCTAGCTGGTGAAATTTATGCTTTGATGTGATGTTGAATAATGTTGAATTACAAGTGCTGGTACTGGGGCTAAAAGCAAATTATGAATAACTTTTGTGTATTTTCGTGTAACGTTTTAAAGAATACATTGAATTTTGGGAAGTTATACCTCCTGTGAAATGACGCGTGAATACACGTTCCAACTCATTTTACATTTACATTTAGGCATATACAGGTGATGTGATATAAAACTTATGATTATAATAATAGTATAATRCGTGGTCACAGAAACATACATCATCTGAAGACTAGCACGTCTCATTTCACAGACTTTTTACGTAGGCTTCCAAGACCTGGACGGGTGTGGTCCCAGGCTACATAAGCTGCAACCCCTGACCTGAGACATAGATAAGGAATTTTGTCCACTGGTTCATGAGATATATTGCTGACATGACAAATGAGAGCATACGAGAAATGGGCAAAAGCATTTTTTTCTTTTTGACTTTGACAATGAGCAACAAAAAAACTTTAGATAAACTCCTGTAAAAAAATGATGCTTTCATTTGTACTACCTCTGACCTTACAAATAGTTCATACAGTTACTTTGAGACATCTTCAGTTTGTCAAAACTAGCATGCATTGTCTACTAAACTAAGAAAGAAAGAAGGTTATTAATGCTAAATTGGCTGGTCAAGCTTCAAACCAGCTCATTTTGTTCAAMAGCCAATTGGTTGATGTATTTCTACACATTTCTTCAGTGTTATACCTCAGTTCACACACAAACAGTAGTATCATTATATGCACTGTCAGAAAGTGGATTTTCCTACAAAGTGGCTTGCAGCTCTGCTTGACATTTTCTCCTCGAATCATGTGTTCATCAAAACGAAGAGAAAACAAAAGACTGTTTTTGTTTATTGCAGGACGAGCCCACCACTGGGATGGACCCCAAAGCCCGGAGGTTCTTATGGGACTGCATCTTGAGTGTCATCAAAGAGGGACGCTCAGTCATTCTCACATCACACAGGTGCAACATCGCTCCMTTATTCCTTTCCTGATGGCCAGTCAAAATATTTGGACTCCTCACYGGTGGGGGAGAAACACAGAAAGCGAAGCGTTCACAAACAAATGGGAGCTATAAATATTGTAATTGTAATTGATTGGAGTTGCACTTTGTTGAGAGGTTTTTGTTTCCAGAGTGGCAGTTATTATCGGCTGCCAGAAACACACTGCTATAAAGCTTTCATGAAGCGTGAGGGCATATCGACTGACTGGTGCTGCCTTTTTTTTTCATCTTCTTTGAAAGCAGAAGCTGTCAATATCAGGGCTGGAGTCTTTTCATTATCCAAAGCTTTCTGAACCAAACTTAAGTTTACCAAGTTTTTATTTTCTTTTGTTTTCCATTTTGTTCGGTACAAATTTACAACCAAAACATTTGTGTACAAATATTAAAACATCATGAGCTATATGGAAAATGACACAGCTTTTTTGTATTTGATCATCCATTTAATTGTTTCTCAAACTGAGATTTGTTTTTCCAGTGGTGTCGTGAATAATCAGTTCAGTTTGGAGCGTAATCTGCTCRTTACTTGTGCTCCTTTCACGGAGAAATAAAAGTGTTTGTTGTTGTCACAGGCAATGTGGCAGAGCTGCATCCAATTGTCCATGTCACAACCAGGTGGTTATGTTTTGTTAAGTGGCAAATTTATTCGGTTTTACAAAGTCRTAATCCTAATTGTGCCATCGCTCAGAGTTGCATCACATTGCTTTGCCTCAGCTGCATTTGGCTCGAGCTGCAGCGTGCCGCTGAAAGAGAAAAAAAGAGATAATAGAACTACAGATGGCCCTTGCTTACCCTCTCTAATTACCAAATTTGTCCTCTATTTGAAGTGCCAGAGTGGACATGTAAAGTGCTCGAGCCYAAACCTTAATTGTAAAGAAGAAACCTTTGTGTGAATGAGTCTATTTTGAAACTCATTATTTTTACCCCTTGTATAAAAAACATGTTACCTTGAATAGATTCTGCTTAGCATTTGAAAGAGTTGGAAAAGCGTCTCAACAATTCCTGAAATATCCCGTGTTTTAAAATGTGCCCTTGTTTGAGGGGGGAAAAGGAGGACTCATCAAGCATTGTGTTTTATTACTACTTCTTCTTTATGTGTTTTAGTATGGAGGAGTGTGAGGCTCTGTGCACACGCATGGCCATCATGGTTAACGGTTGTTTCAAGTGTCTCGGGAGCATCCAGCATCTGAAGAACAGGTAAGGGTCTTCATTTAGTCTTTATCCTGTTAGTGTTGTCTAATTCAGYTTGAAGTCATGAGGGGAAGTGGGTAAAATATTCCCATTTGAAAGAATGTTGCTTAACATCTATGGGCTGAAGGTGTCATCAGAGGTCACCGATTTCCAGTTTTGTAACTAAACATTATAGGGACTGTTAGTCCCACTATGTAGCACCTATAAAGACCCATGTGTTTGCTTTTGCACCACCATGGAAATTGCTGAATTTACAATACATTCAGCCAATAATCAATACATCAACATAAACTATAATGTTAACTATTAACAGCAACATAAATGGAGGATGCTATGTTTAATGCAGAATTTGAACTAGTCCGTCATTCAGAAAAAGTTGTAAGAGTCAAGAGTGTTTTATTTTTTAACACAACATTTTATGCAAAAACCATCTCAGAGTGTCCCAGTAGCTACATTTACATGGACATAAGTAATCAGATTAAACAGCCATTCGGAATAAAAATGCATCATGTAAACACCCCATTTGCAATATTCTGATTCTGATTCAGCTCGATCCGAATGAATTTGTAATCGGAATGAGAGAGGTGGTTTATGCCGATTGATAATCCGAACGACGTGCATGTAAACACTTAATCTGATCATCTTATTCTGATTGTGGAAAACTGACCTGACTGCGCATGTCTGCTGACTTTCATCCACCGGTTTCTGCACTTTTGTGGAGGAAGGGAGGGACAGCAGTGCTGTAGTTTCCAGCAGACCGAACTTTTCCTCCTGTTCTCTCATTCAATAAAGAAGACACACAGCCTGCGCCGCTTTGCTAAAAAAAAAAAAGTCTGTGCGTCAGCTGCAGATGAACCAGAGAGTGCAGTAACGTCTCCACCATTATTAAAACCTGTCGCAGGTCCATTCTGAGCTCAGAAGATGGTTGTTTATGTTCATCACGGAAGTACAACTTTTTTCTGTTTTTTTTTTTAGAGAAAGTTAACTACTGTGCACGTCAGTGCTTCTATTCTGAATAAAAGCCTGGTGCATGTAAACACTCGTCATGATCGGATTGTGCCCATGTAAACGATACAATCCGATCAAAGAATTTTGCACATGTAAACATAGCTAGTGTCTGCTTCTGGCATCGCTTTTTTTTTTTAAAGGATTATGAAGTATGAACTATGGTCACGTGTAAGCTCGGATTTCATGCCACAATATGTGCATCCCCTGCCATGCTGAAATATTAGACTGGTAAAGATGTAAGAATGTAAAGATCGATGGCTGAAAC